TATTATTAAAAAGACTACTTAGTATTTCAGAAAAATCCCTTCAGTGGGATTTTATCTAGATGCTACCCAGTGGAAAGGATAAGTTGGAAAAAGCTAGAGAGGGGGTACGTATAAATGGGAAGGAGATTCTGTATTTTGGAATATTTTTTAATCCATTAGAAAAGAAAGCCAAACTATTAGGTCTTTCCAGATCTAGCCCTGCCATTACAGAGTGAGATGGTCCTATGGAGGTCAGAGCTCTTGCTTACACACTAAGGTAGTGTCAGTCCTCAGATGAGTTGAAGGATGTCCCATCACCAATGCTCAACAAGCAGGGAACAGGGATGGAACAGGGATGTACCATCTTTCATTTCAGGCAGCAAAGTGTTTGGGACCAGATAGCTCTACTGCAAGGGAAGCAAAGTCCATGGGTCTTCTCCCTGCTGTGGAGTTCTTAAATGAACAGAATGGAAGCTCCTAGCTGGTCATGTGACAACATATCTAGCCATTGGTCAGCACTGTGAGAGTTAATACAATAAAAAGTATTACTTTCCCCATTCTGTTTTGAATACAGTATATACGGATCTGTGACTATGTTATTTGGAAATTATATATAAGGTTAATTAAGAGTGCAAGTGTTAACAAGTGCTGAGTTAATTGGCATAGCTGTGTAGTGTTTTGAGAGTTCATGTTATTTATTTGCATTTTCCCTGTTCAGCCTTCTGCTTTAAGTTTAGAAATGATATCCTTCTTTTGGTTGGAGGCTGTCTTGGTTCACAGTACAGATAAACTTTAACTAATTGTTTCAACAAGAATCTTCAAACCCACAAGGTTATTATAGGGTGCCTTGAACAGAAGTACAACATCCTGCTTCTGAAGTCCAAATAATTTTTTAAGTTTTCCCATTTCAGTCCTTCATTCCACAAAAATTTATCCCAGAAATTCCCTCCCCACCAAGTCATTATCCAGTTGTTTCCCAGAGGAATTAAACTGCACTGGTGATCTTGATCTCAGCTTGTATTTCTCTACAGGTAGAGTATAAAGCAAAACAGATCTCTGTAGGTAAATCAGGGTGTGATGTGAAAACCCAATTATCCCAACCTAGATCATGCTGAACAGGGTCTCTTTAAGGTGCAATATGTCATTTGAGGCAATATAAGCTATATGCAAAGATCAACCACATTGCACTTCAGGCAAATCTTGCTTGGCACAATCTAGAGGTATCCTCTTTCCTTTAAACGGAAAAAACAAACCAAAGAAACCCCCTTTCTGCTTCCTCCCCTGTGCTTTGTCTAAGGCATGTAATAGTTTTGAGAAATGGGAAGTTGCCTCGCCACTAACCTGCAGAGGAGAAAGGAGAGGAAGTTTTACATTTCTTATTAATTGTTACTAACTGACACATTGCATCATTAAGTGAGCCTTGGATTAAACCTACAGTGAAGCTAAAACCCAGTTATGTGAGGCTCCCCAAGGTAAATGAAAAACAACAGTTACTCAAAATTAGGGACAGTTAGAAGCTACAAAACAAAGTGTACAAATGATTCAGTGGCTCTGAGGCTGAAGCAGGATGGAACAGAACAAAGAGGGCAATAGATTGATTCTAGAGAATGAAACAAGACATTATGGAAGTTTCTGTGGTCTTCACTGAGTTAAAGTTTGTGAGAGTCACACTGTGAAAGACAGGTGGCCTATGGGCAAAAACAATAGGTGTCCTGAGGCGTACCCTAAACATGTTGGTCTGTTTGACAAGCTAGAAATACCTTAGATTAAAATACACTGGTGACCTTGGGCTGGGTTTGTATTTCTCCACAGGTACAGTACAAAGCAAGATAGATCTCTGTAGGTAAATCGGGGTGTGACTAGAAAGCCCAATTATCCCTGCCTAGATCATGCTGAACATTGTCTCTTTAAGGTGCAAAATGTCATTTGAGGCAATATGACCTATATGCAAGCATCAACCACATTGCATGTTGAGCAAACCCGGTTTAGCACAATCTAGAGTGATATTCTTTCTTCAACTGGCTAATTTATAGGTATCACCATAAATTAGCTGTTGGTGATCATCTGGTGGTTGGGAGCAACTCTCTTTAAGCAATGGAAGAAGTAGCATACACAATTACTCTGCAGCCATCCAGGTCAGGTTTTGAAAAAATCTGTACTAGTTTCCTAAGATTGTGACTTCTGCCACCTCTTTTGAAGGAATGTTAAGTCTGGAGCTGAAGCATCTGGGTAACATCCCTGAAAATACAAAGCAGAAACAAAATGGCTATGTAGCAGTTCCTGTCAGAGCTCCTGCGCATCTACACCACCTGTATGTTTCTAGATCTGCTTGAGAAGGAAGCTGTTTTGCCTGATGTTGCTGTCAAACCAAAAATGAAAGTTTTTAGTTAGCATGCATGTGAAGGATCAGGATGAGGATAAGTAAAGGGAATTCTCCCAAGAATTCAGCACATCCTAAGAAAAACTACATTGCTGAAGCAATAATTTAATAAATAAACAAACAAACATATCTGGAAAACTCTATGCTAAAAGTTAAAATGTTCTTTCCAGGCATATGGATTAAATAAAAGCAAGAAAGGAGCTTGTCTTGAAATTAGATGATATAAAAACTACAATCTGTGATCCCCAGGGTAATTCAGAGGACCCTGTCGCTCCTGTTGAAAACAGCAAGCTCTATTTGCATTTACGCCCTCCTGTTCTCAGAAGAGATGGTGGGGAAAGGCTGCAGGATCTAAAGTATGCTGAGTTGTGGTTTTGCACTGCAGCTCCCAGAATTTCTCAGCTGCCAGGAGAATTCTGGAAGCTGCAGTCTCAAAGCATCTAGTGGCACACCAGGGACCATATTAGGGTGACTCTGTGTCCTAAAGGATGGAGGATCATCTGGTATCAAGAGCTTGCATTTTTTGTTTTTGTTGTTGTTTGTTTGTTTTTTGGAGTTCAGCTCCCAAAACCCCCCAGTTCCCAGAATTCCTATGGGTCCGGCATTTTTGGAGTTGCAGTCCAAACTCGTCGTTTTCAAGTAATGCTTGTGTTTGAAAGGCTCAGTCTGAAGGCAGTGTCTGTTTCAAGGCCACTCGATCCAAGTTCGGTTAAAAGATAAAGAATCATAATCAGAGAGAACAGCAGGGGCCTTGAAGTTGCATATCCACAATTAGGACTTGGATCAGAGATTGAGGCCAGAAACAAACATTAAAAATAACTCATAATTAAAACTGGAAGCACCTTAATGTTGCAGAGATGGGATTGAGGCAGTCCTTTTGTGTTTGCAAAATCAAACTTGAAAGGAATTGCACGCTTAAGTTCCAAAGACCAAACAAAGCTCACTAATTTTCATATTCCCAGAGGTGAGAGAAAATCCTGCTCTGGCCAACTCTAACAGCTACAGTATTTCTGTGATGCAAAGGCGCATACATCACCTGCTAAATTCTTCCGCACTATGGTGATGTACCATACTTCTATTTCACTTATACCAATTATATTTATATTTACACGTATGTGTGTATTTTATGCAAATCTCAGTCCTGTTTTTCTGGAGATAGATTTCCTTTTTGGGGGGAGGGAATGCATAAAGTCATGCTGGTGCTTAGCATTTTCCACATAGAAAAATAATTTACTATTAATAAAACACTACGAAAATATCATTTGGCCTCAAGTATTAGAATTTTCCAGCAAATCAACAAACCTTCACTGCCTGCACCCTCCACAACACTTCAGGACACAGGATAAAGTACCTGCTGGGGACCTAATTGCAAGCTTCAACAGTCAAGGAAACAAAGCAAGGAATTTGTGCAGTTATAAAATGCCTGCAGATTTTACATCCTGACATTAGTCTGCAGGAAGTTACCTTGTTTTGAGAAATATTCCTCCTCCATGGATCTTGTTCCAGGACGGATTCATTTAAAATTAAACAAACTAGATCATAGTGACCTCTACAGGTAGCCTTTACATTTGCAGCTAGCTCTTCTTCCTAGAGAAAAGAAGCTGCCTTGTATTGCAAGAACACTAGCAGGAAGAGCATGCCAGACAAGACAAGCTCTATCTGCAGCTGCCAAAATGTGAAGTAGCTGGCAATGTATGCACAGTTTCTCTTGTGAGGTTGACTCATGCAAACAGTAGGATGAATCCAAACAATTCTCTTTCCAACATCAAACTGGGATATTTATGACTGAGTGGCTGCTTGTGAATCCCATGGCACTCTGTGGCTTTCCTTAACCAGTGGTGGTGGTGGTGGTTGCTGCTGCTGCCATTGTTGTGTGCTGGCTAGTCACCTCCAATTTATGGTGATGCTATGAAGGAGAGTTCTCCAAAATGCCGTGTCCTCAACAGCCCTGCTCAGCTCTTGTAAACTCAAGCCTGTGGGTTCCTTTAGGGAGTCAGTCCATCCCGTATTTGGTCTTCCTCTTTTCCTGCTGCCTTCAACTTTCCCAGCATTATTGTCTTTTCCAGATTATCTTGCCTTCTCATGATGCATCCAAAATATGGCAGCCTTGGTTTTGTCATTTTTGCCTCCAGAGATAGTTTGCTGCAGCACCACTTGTTTGTCTATCAGCAACCCAGGGTATCCAAAGCTCTTCTCCAACACTGTATTTTGAACAGATTGTTTTTTTCCTCTCAGATTTCTTCATTGTCCAGTTTTCACATCCATACATAGTAGTCAAGAATACAAGAGTATGGCTGATCTTGGCGTCAGATTTCTTCATTGTCCAGTTTTCACATGTGTACATTGTAGTCGAGAATACAAGAGTATGACTGATCTTGGCATTAGTTCGCAGTGACACATCCTTATACTTGATTATCTCTTTTAATTCCTTCATTGTTGCTGTTCTAGGTCTCAGTTATCTGATTTCTTGTCCTTATACTTGATTATCTCTTTTAATTCCATTGTTGCTGTTCTCGGTCTCAGTCTTCTGATTTCTTAACTGTTGTCTCTATTTTGATTGATGATTGAGCTGAGATATACAAAATATTTGACTGAAACTAGTGTGAACAAATTGAATGGGAGACAAAACCCTTGATTTCAGAGAGGGAGGTGTTACACCACTGCTAGGAAAGGGAACTGCCTGGGTTCATCCTGCTGTCTATATTAGTTGGCCTCACGTGAGAACTTTGCTCCAGTTCGATCCACTGCAAGGTCTGCTTACATGGCCCCTACTGCTATGTTCTTCCATGCTGGTATGTGTCATTTCATGTTGTTTTCTCATTGTTATTTTTTTTTCCAGCCTGTCTGCTAGACAGGTGAAACAAACGGAGAAGAAAAGAAAAAGTGAACAAGACAGGGACAGGGCAGAGAAAAAAAGGAAAAATTGGAGGGCGACTTGTGGCAGGAGTGAGACTTCAGGCAGCAATTCCAGATGTGTGTTAATAGGTGGGTACTGAGAAGATTTGGTGTATCCCAGTACATCCAGCAACAAACACCCTCCCAACTAGGATGATCTATTCAAATTTACAACAACAACAACAACAAAAAACCAGCAGAATGATTAGGATGATCTATTCAAATTTACAACAACAAAAAAACCCAGCAGAATGATCCAAGGCAACCCACAACAACTGAGGACAACACCACTGTGTGGACAAGCTCTTAGAGTGCATACAGGACTCCGACAGAGGGGAACAATCAGGAGGTGACCACAACTACTCCTGTATCACTCGAGGCAACCACCTTGCTGCCTCTGGAGGTATGGCTGGCTTTGTTTTCTAGGCATACTCTATCCAATTATCACCCCACATTCATGTATATTGATAGGAAACTCACTTTCCTGAGTGCAAGTTGTTAGGTAGTCAAAATGGCACCCACTCAGTCCCCCATTTAGGGATAAAGAATTTTAAGGGCCACTGAAGGCATCTTTCTATATTTAGTATTAGTAACCACCATATGCTTCCCATATATGGAAAGATGTATTTTTATTTAAATTAGACTGTTGTTTCGTCATTAAGTCATGTCCAACTCTTCATGATCCCATGGACCAGAGCACACTAGGCCCTCCTGTCTTCCACTGCCTCCCAGAGTTGGGTCAAATTCATGTTGGTAGGTTCGATGACACTGTCCAACCATATCATCCTCTGTCATCCCCTTCTCCTCTTGCCTTCACACTTTCCCAACATCAGGGTCTTTTCCAGGGAGTCTTCTCTTCTCATGAGATGGCAAAAGTATTGGAGCCTCATCTTGGGGATCTGTCCTTCCAGTGAGCACTCAGGGTTGATTTCCTTCAAAATGGATAGGTTTGTTCTCCTTATTCTCCTTTCTCTCAAAAGTCTCCTCCAGCACCACAATTCAAAAGCGTCAATTCTTTGGCAGTCAGCCTTCTTTATGGTCCAACTCTCACTTCCATACATGCTCCTGGAAAAACCCATAGCTTTGACTAAGCGGACCTTTGTCGGCAAGGTGATGTCTCTGCTTTTTAAGATGCTGTCTAGGTTTCTAATTGCTTTCCTCTCCAGAAGCAGGTGTCTTTTAATTTCATGGCTGCTGTCACCATCTACAGTGATCATGGAGCCCAGTAAAGTAAAATCTGTCACTGCCTCCATATCTTCCCCTTCTATTTGC